TGCCACCAGATGCTCGAGCTCCTCGAGCAGCGTTAGAAGGGCTCGGAGGCCGGTGCCTCTCCAGCGCTGGAACGTGAAGAGGTGCTGGCGTCGTGCATCCTCTTGGCTTTCGCCTTCCTCGGGGAACTCTTCAGGGTTCCTCCTGCTCCTCGGCTCCTCCGTCCCTCGCACGTGAGCCTTCTCAATGTTGAATATTTCAAGCGAATAGGACGAAGTTGCAATTGTTTTTATCGTGATGAAAATCTGATCTGCGATTGAAATCCAACAATTTGCTGTGCTTCTGGTTTTCGCATGAATTTTTGCTATAGGAGATCTCAATGAAGAACAATGAAAGAAGAAGAATTTGTCTCTGATATATTTTCCTCGGCAATCGTTCGCACTCGAAGAAAAACGCTGACCAAAAGAGAGGAAGGGTCACGGGGCTCCATTAGCGATTGGGAAAAATATCGCCCAACGTGGGGCTCGAACCCACGACCCTGAGATTAAGAGTCTCATGCTCTACCGACTGAGCTAGCCGGGCTCACGCTTAATAACTTCAATGATGGCCTTTACTTTTTGACTGATTTTGACTGATTTTATGGTATCATCTTAACCGTTATCCAATATTTACCTATACATTGACATTGCAGGATGCGAATCAACCTGACTTGAGATATTCGTGGTAGAATACTGAAATTGACATGCCAATAATTAGACCAGGCACATACACTTTCGATTCGAATCATGGCTCAGTTTTTCCCATTCCAGGTTGGCATCGGTCGCTGAATCCCAGTCCCGCATTGCCGAAAAGTCTCGTAAGATTTTGCAGTTGAACGCCTGATTGCCTTCAGCAATTTAGACACCTCTGAGAATGATTACTTACTTATTTAATTAAAGACGCTGCGCATGCGCCTTTCGGTCAAGAGTCAAGAGTTTCGGTCAAGAGTTTCGGTCAAGAGTTTGCTCGTGCATTTCCAGCCGTTGTCAGCTTTCTTGTCTCGGAATTAATGATACCCATGCGATGTTTGACACAAATAAAATCAACTTGTGCCTCATATTTGTGTTTGCATCCCGTTTTTTTTTTTCATAGTGATCACTTTGATATTGTTTCATACCCAATGACTGCGCGTGCGCAGTCAAAAGTTGCGTCTCACAGAGCCGAATGTCTTCCACAGGACGAGCCATTTCTTTCCGAGCTCTTGCTTATTGGTCTCTCTCTTGCTCTCCACAGCACTCAGAGCATTATATTATTCTTTGGAATAAGCGAATGCATTCTGCCTGTGGTCGCCAAGTCTGAATTTTCTAAGCGGAGACGCTTTTACGACGCTCTAGGATTCAGATTTAGCAACCACGGTCCACCATAGCTGCCGTTAAAATGGGGGAAGTCCTGGTGATTGGTAATTCGAGTGAATAGCTTCTCAGAGGTGCCAAAAATTGCTTTTCGATGACCTGCTGCGAAGGCAAGGAGGCGTTTCGCTCCCCGCTTGCCTCGCCTCTGCAAAATCTCGCGAGACTTTTTGGCAATGCGGGACTGTGATTCAGCGACTTTCGCGCTCTCGTGGTCTTATCGTTAGCATGTGAAATTCAGTATTCTACCAAGACTATCTCAACTCAGGTCGATTCGCAATTTTCCTCCAATATCAATATCAAGGTTGATATTAGATGACGATTAAGGTAATAATACTCTACAGTCAGTAAGTCAATCTAAAGGTAAAGACTATTATGGGATGAAAATGTATGTGTGCCCGGCTAGCTCAGTCGGTAGAGCATGAGACTCTTAATCTCAGGGTCGTGGGTTCGAGCCCCACGTTGGGCGATTGCTTTTTTCCCCCCATTTATGCAAATTTTCTTTTTACTATCTTATCTTCTTCGAACAGCGAGTTAGATTGCGATGCGTTTTTGGAGGAGGTGGATAGAACCTTAGAAAGGATTCCGAATGGGCACCGCGTTGTGCTGAAGGGGGACTTCAATGCACGAGTTGTGTATGATCGGTCGATTTGGGGAAGCCACGCTGAACGGGAGTGGCAGAAAGTTCCTGGACTTCTGTGCTGGCAATGGCCTGACCATCACCAACACCTTCTTCCAGCACAAAGATATTCACAAGTTTACCTGGCACAGGGGGTCTGATAGTCGGACTGGTACTGTGTGCCAGCAATCGCTGATCGATTACGTGATCGTTTCGGCGGACTTGCGGGACCTTGTGACGGATACGAGGGTGTGGCGTGGGGCAGAACTGAGCACCGATCATCATCTAGTGGTCAGCAAACTTCGGATAAGAGCGAATCTCAGAACGCGGCAGAGAACTGCACGCGTTGAAAGACGAGTGAGGTGGGAAGCCCTTCGTGATGAGGGAACTCGTGACGAATTTGCGAGGGAGATCGGCGAGAAGTACTCTCAACTGCCTCCCCAGTCGTCAGATGTAGAGACCGAATGGACTCTCAATTTGGAATGGAATTTCGGTCTGGTGTTTTGGCGGCGGCAGCAAGAGTGTGTGGGGAGAAGCGCATCGGAGTGGCTCACGGTAACGCCAAGCGAACGCCCTGGTGGACACCAGCAGTGCGCGAGGCCGTCACTGCCAAGAAGGTAGCCTGCGCACATGTCCAGTAGGTTTGAAAGGTTTATTTCATCCTTGGGTTCAGGTCGTCAGTGTGACAAGGGAAAAAGAACACAGAACAAATTCAAATGAGGAAGGATGGCAGGTGACCAGCACTGGGGTATTAGAGTGTTATCTTCTCCCCTCTTGAGATTTTGCACAAAAACGTTTCGTGATATAGCTTTTTTACAGCTGGAATGTGGGTTTTCTTCCTTCGAGTGTTATACTGATGTTGGAGATCACAGATGGAGGTTGTTTTATAGAGGAAGNGAGCCTCTCAGCGCAGAGACGAGTCTCACCATGGAGGAAGTTCTGCAGGCCATTGCTAGCCTGAAGAATGGGAAGTCTCCTGGTGTGGATGAAATCCGGGCGGAGACTCTGAAAGCAATGGGTACAGATGAGTGTTCGTGGCTTTATAGGGTGTGTCAGGCTGCTTGGGAATCGGGAACGGCACCTAGGGACTGGCAAACCGGTGTGGCGGTTCCTCTTTTTAAGAAGGGGGACTCGAGGGAGTGCCCGAACTATCGTGGGATCGCTCTCCTCAGCATACCCGGTAAAGTCTATTCCAAGGTGCTGGTGCAGAGAGCTCGGGCAGTCGTGGGTGATGCCATCCAAGAGGAGCAGTGCGGCTTTCGTTCGTGGCGCAGCACCACGGACCAGCTGTTCGCTCTCCACCAGATCCTCGAGAGACATTGGGAGTATGCCAAAGATGTCTACATGTGCTTTGTGGACCTTGAAAAAGCTTACGACCGTGTACCCCGAGGAAAACTGTGGGGAGTGCTACAGGAGTATGGGATCAGGGGTCAGCTATTGCGGGCCGTTCAGTCCCATTACAGCGATTGCAGAAGCTGCGTCCGAGTGAGCGGGAGGAGTGAAGATTGTTTTCTGGTTCGCGCTGGACTCCGGCAGGGTTGTGTCCTCTCGCCTTTCCTGTTCCTCGTGTACATGGACGGGATCTGCAGGCGCAGCCTCGGCCTGGAGGGCGTCAACATCGGTGAGGTCGCGGTAAGGATACTTCTCTTTGCCTCGGATGCCGTTCTCTTGACCCGCTCTCGACAGGAGCTCCAGAGTGTGCTCGATCGGTTCGACTCCGAATGCATTGCGGCCGGAATGAGACCGAGCGTCTCCAAGACACAGGTCATGGTCCTCTCGAGAAATCCTGCTCGGTGCACCCTGCATGTCAGTGGGGTCTCACTGGAACAGGTGGAGAAGTTCAAGTATCTCGGGGTCTGGTTCTCGAGTGACGGGCGATACGGAAACGAGATCGACAACCGCATCTGGGTTCTGCATTCTGGGTTCCAAGGGTTCTGCAGTTCTGCGGGAACTTTGGCGAACTGTGGTTACCAGGTCGGAAGTTTCTCGGGAAGCAAAACTCTCGGTTTTTAAGAGTGTTTATCTCCCCACCCTCACCTATGGTCATGAACTTTGGGTAACGACCGAAAGCACCAGATCGCGAACACAAGCTACCGAAATGAGGTTCTTGCGTCGAGTGACTGGCGTAACGCGCCGTGATCGGCTGCGAAACTCTGCCATCCGCGAGAGTCTCCACGTCGAGCAGCTGCTTCTCCGGATCGAGAGGTCTCAGGCCAGGCGGTTCCGTCACGTCTGCCACTTGCCCCCTGAAAGGCTCCCAAGAGGAGTCTTCCAGGCCAAGATGACAGGCAAAAGACCTGTCGGTAGACCTCGTACAAGGTGGATTGATTACGTCGCTCGGCTTCGTCACGAGAGGCTCGGCATCCCACCAGCTGAGCTTGAGTCTGCTGCCCAGGATCGAGATCACTGGAGGACGCTCCTGGGAATGCTCGAAGCGCGACCCCATTAAGTTGGGAAAAGCGGCCAAGAAAATGTATGTATGTATGTATCTCGATTAGTGAATATGTGACAGCTAAAGGCTTCTGCCATTGATTAGGGATATAGAAACTTGCATCTGAATTGCTGCCCATGCCCATTACACATGGGATCAGATTCAGAATGAATCAGATGAAAAACAAAGATATGTCAAAAGCTCAAATTACCAATAGCTAAGGTGTGACGATCAGAAACAAAACTGATGCAGCGCACCTTCAGACACTTTTCTTGGTGTATTCATTCTCACTCCTCAGGTTATTGGTCATAAATTGAAAAAAAAAAGCACTAGGAAATCCAAAACTTGTTGCTTTCCCTATGATTTAGGGTTCCAGGACCAAGCTTCTTCCTATCGTTTGCAAGTTGAATTTTCGGACGATTTGTATTGTGCTAAAAAAGAAATTAGATGAATTTCATCATGATGCAGCATTAGGAGGGACATACAGGCAAGGTGAGGATGAACGGGATTCAGGGATCGGGAAGGATGGGAGCATGATGGCTGCAAGTCGCATCGACGGGGCTCTTTCTTCCAGGAGCGGATTTGCCGATTACTTCCATCAACTGACGAATCCAGAATTCTGGAGCTGCACCTATCAAATATATATTTCCATACATTTCATAATAATGGAACAAACGACAGGGAGAATTCAATCACTCCAACATCAACACAGATGAGCACTGAGTGCACAGATGGGAAAAAAAAATAAAAGAAATGGGAAGTGCAACCCACACCATCACAAGGATCACAATTTAAAATTTTAAGTTTTAAAACAGTTGGCTTTCATATTTGAGTGTTGAGATTTGACCAAGAAGCACCATCCATAAGTAAACCTCACACGATTCACAGTGATTGGATCACAAATAAAAAAACAAGATTCATCAAGTGGAATGTGCAGAGTGTGCACCATACCGGAATTCTGTAACACAGATGACTCAAGCATACTCCATGCGACAGAAGATGACACGAAAATGGAGAAAAATAGAAAATTAAAGGCAGATGCATTTTTTTCAGATGAAGGCAGGTGCCAAGGGAGATCTGGCACAGATGGGGTTTCAGTAAATTAAGCTTGACTTTAATTGTCCATGATGAAGCTGCTTTGAATTTCAAGATAGAGAATCATGAAGAAAGATATGCCGATGTGAGAATTCTTTGGTGTCGGAGAACCGGGAAATGAGACAAGCACCGACAGCTTTGACACAGCAAAAGCCAAATTTTTTCGGAAAAGATGGATGTTGCTTTTGTTGCTTAAGAACCAGAAATATCAAGCAGACTCATAAATGCCACGTGGAGATAATACTGATGCGAATTCAACAGACTGGTTCAAGCTTGAATTTCCAGAACCAAGGACCTGAGCATGACAAAAGACCCTTTAGAGTAGACTACCCTACTTTCCTTTTTCCAAGTAACTACAAACCCGTTTCACAAGAGGGAACCACCTTCCCTTCCCATCACACAAATGAATCACCTGGCAAGCAATTATTTCCATAGAACTCTCTTCATAGCCCCCCATCTAAACCATCCTCCTCTATTCCTGAGTATGCCATTTCTAAGCATTCCCCCTCATATCCTCATTCAAACTCTTATGCATCTATTAACCAAATATTTCCAACCTCTCTCCATTCATATGACTGCAGCCACCTGTTCAGTAAAAAAAATTCCTTCCTCTTAATATCAAGCACCTCATGTGTTGGGGATGTAAGAACCCAACTTCTCTAATTCATAATCATGCCAATGATGAACCACATTGCACAATGCAAGAAAAAGACGAGTGCAACATATATATCACACTATTTCCAAATTAAAGAATTTTGAAATGGCACATTTTGACTCTCATATTTTCAAAGTCCCTTCTTCCAGACACCAAAGAATGGTCAGACATCAGATAAGATGAAGAACCTTGCCTTGTGCATACCTGCTAAGGCCTATTGTGCATATTCTGTTGCTGCTCTCAGCATGAGGAGGACACTGACTCTTGTGAGCAATCATGATGGAGCTTTATCTATCCAGGCAGTCTAAAAAAATGTCTTCAAATATTTACCACCTGCTGATAAATATGAAGTATTGCTAGATCAACAACATATCCTGAAAAAAAAAGGGCCCATGATACCCGATTGACAGCAATACTGACTCCGTCAGTCGACAATACAGAGTACTACATGAACCTAAGGCTGAAAGATGGCCTTCCCCTTTGCCTAACCTCAAACATGGCAGTAGGATTAACTGATGTGCAATGTTCGAGTGGAAGACGACACAAAGGCAATCATTTGCAAAGTCTGGCATGCATTAAAAATTTGTGACATGATCATGTTCAATGGTTCATCTAGCTGAGGGGGAAAAAAAACATAATGCCAAATAGATATAGAGATTTCCTATCACCTTCAACAGAAGATACATAAGTTTTGTGGGCAAAACATAAAGTAACTCTTGCAGACTTCAATGCTGAACTTCTGCAGGGTTTTCAACATGGATGCAATAAAAAAATTGTGGAATATGAACACAATGAACACACGATGCCACTGGACTCACTTCTGTAAGGCTACTCATTCAGGAATCCACCACACTTTTCAAGAAGAGCAATTATGCATTTGATGAGGATCACATGATGTGGATCTCGCCATCACACTTGTCGCAGCAGTTGACGGTGAGCTTTTCGTATCGCACGTCGTTGTTGGGAGCGATGCCGAGGCGGAGGTACGGTTGAGCCGAACCCTGCACCTGACGGCTGAGGACCTCTGCCGTCAGCAGTTCGGGTTCCGGTAGAGCCTGAGACAGCACCTGAAATGAGCAGCACATATGAGACTTGCCACCTGGAACAAGTGGCCCATTTGAAACCCATCACCTAAAGCATGGCACATCTGAAACTCTCCACCTAAACAAGCAACACACATGAAACTCACCCTATTCAAAGGAAGGGAGCTTCCAAATTTTGAATCCAGCAACATCTAATCAAGATAAAGGCAAGCAATAACCTGCATGTTCATTTCTCACGACACAGGTTAAGCACAGTTTTCAGGAAACCCAGCAAAATGTCCCTCATCTAGCAATGCAAAATTACCCTTGGGTGTCAAAGAAACAGCAGGTTGGACAACCAAGATTGTATTGTTGATGGAATAAAACACAAGAAAGAAAACTGGGAAGTTCCACCCTCCACCCGCAGATGTACAAAAATGAACATTGCAGAATACAACCAAATTTGGCATATTCTTACCACAGAATCCCTATATATGCACACAAATCTTGACCAAACCATCTACTCCAAAAAAGCACATCACATACTCCCTCCAGTTCCATAACTAGTAAATGTGCACAACATGAGCTAAGGAAGCAGTTGGAAGTGCTTGAAACCATGATACTATTCTTCAACAAGGGAAATGAGAAATGTCTCTATGCTGAGGAGTTTTGGATAAACAGGGTTGTTTAAACATTAAACAATATTACATATTTAAAATATAAAAAATTCCCTTCTTTGCTGCAAAAACAGAAATGTAATGAAATATGTGAAATGAAGTATATATTTAAAAAAAAACTGCAACATGTGTGTGGAACATTTACAAATTTTCCTTTTTAGGGTGAAGTAAAGAATGGCAGCACTTATGGAATATGTAATAATGCACACCCTTTTCCTACCATCACTCCATCTATCCATATCACAATACACATACTTCTGCCTCATTTTTCCATTTGTGACACAAAAAAATCAATTTAGGGGCAATCAATATAGCAAATGAGAAGCAGCTACGAGCTTGAGAGAGAAGCTTGGGTCTATGAGAGGTGAATATTCCTCTGCCTTACCCGTATAGCAATGCCTTCAGCAGGTGACAGGGAACACTGCTCTGGGGATGGTCCAATGCCATTCTCCACACCAACACCTTGAAGTACAGAAGAAAGCTCCACAGCATTGAGCTTCCGAACATCCACAGATCCCTGAGCACTGCCTGAAGATTCCAAACTCCTGCAGAAAGAAAAGAAATTGCTGAAATTCGAATGTAGAAGTGATGCTGTTTACAAATTGCTGAAGACCCTCTTGCTTTTAATATAACTCTCATTAAAACTGCTTGATCTGACTGATTCAAAACAAGCAATGATCTAACTTGAGGGTGTAAATCTACTGAGTAATTCGCATCAAGTTTGTCTTACTCACAGTTGATATCCTTGGTTCTAGAAACAGTATTCCAGACAGTAACAGGCAAATAACCTGAATTACAAGGAGACTTCTATGAAATTTTGGACATATTTCTTACCGCTTCAGTCCATTTTTAATTCAGAGAATGTTTCCCTTTGGTCACAGTTTTTACATGGACTATAGTGATGCTTATATTCCAAGAAGTTTTTCACAAATTTCAGGAAAACTACAAAACAAATGCAAGAGCAGCAAAGCAATAAAAATGAAAACAAGGAAGTCACCTGCTCAAACGAATGAGGTTCCCATGGATCTCCTTGTGCTCATCCAGAAGCCCCCTGAGGGCAGCATGGGCATCAGTGAGCCTCTTCCCCATTGCTGCCTTGCATCGCAAGAGCTCGTCCACAAGCAGACTTCAGTCCCCAGCAACAACAAAGCAATAAAAATCAGGGCTGCACCACTTCATTCTCTCCAGAGGAACAAGCAAAAACCATTCCAATTTTTAAATCAGGATGAATATTACATGAGAATACTTGCAAGTTTTCATTATCAACCCAAATTATGAATTCATCATTTGAATTGAAACCAATTGCTCAATACCTATGATATAGGAAAGTTACTCTAAAATCCATTTTCAAAGTTACAATATACAGTAAGGCCCTATAAAATTGATGATTTTTGAAATTCTCAATCAAAGAAGAAGAATCAATATTAGCTTCATATCCCGTGGTACTCAAGAGGTTTACCTCTTTGAAGCATGCAGGTTCTTCTTATCAACATGAAACACATAGTTTCCTAATGTTTCATGAAACTTTCTTATTTTTTTACCAGCTGATGCAAGATAATGGCCAACGTAGCCTCAAAACAAATTTGCTCATCATTGGATCCTTGAAAAGCTTAATGCTGAGAGTGCACAATTCAGAATGAGGAAACAGGCAAGAAAAGAAAAGAATGCGCTTCACCTGCTGGCGAGGAACTTGCTCTTCCACACCTCGCACTGCCCAAAGAGGCGATCCTTCTCTTCCAGCTCCATGCTGAGTGTGTTGGTGAACTTCTGGACCCGGTCACCCAGCTGGGCTTTGTCTCGGGTCAGGCCCACCAGCTTGGATTCAAAGTCCTCCCCCATGCATGCCACAAGGAGCTTCTTCAGCTCTGTGTTCACCTGCAATACCAATCAAGTCCAAGCTGCTCAGTCAGGTGGAGACACATGTGTAACCCATAAACTTTCATCCAGATAATATGTTTAAGGGACAAGCTCTCATGAGGATACTTCAAGTAACACTGCATGAGCTCAGCTTAAAAACAACTCAAGTGGTCCCAACTGGTTAAATAGAAGTCATACACTACATAAAAGACTTTATCACTCGTTCTGTGGTGGTACCAACAATAACTACAGCATAGAAATCACAGGGTGCTATAAATTATTTTATGCAATCAGATGAATGAATGAAACGAAGTATCTTTCTATCCACAAGAGGATAATTTAATTCACCGATGATGCTGTTCCCATTATGATCTCAGGCTCATCAGAAAAGTAGTTGAAATTCATGGATCATATTGAAAACATAAAACAATCATTTGACAGTCAAGTTCAATGTAGCAATATAACAATTATCAAGGGTAATTACCAATGTGACAATTACAAATGAGCCACTAAAAAATGATATCAGCAGTAAAATACTAGGTTGTAACTAAAGTTTTTGTGCATACAAACAATGCAACAGTCTGTGAAGCACAATTTTTTCGCCACACATTCTGAACGAAAGCACATTTTATGCAGCGCATAAATATATGTTGCCTGCTTTTTTACAAATCACTAAATTTATAAATATTAGTGTTCAGAATGTGTGACAAAAAAATTGTGCTTTGCGGACTGTTGCATTGTTTGTATGCACAAAAACTTTCATTACAACCTAGTACAACAGTTGAATCTTATTTTACTCCAACAGGCCGAAGAAAGAATCTAAGAGAGAACTGAAGAGACCAGGAGAGCAGCTAGGTATCAATGGAAAAAGCAACCATTACACCAATAGTCATATGGTGGGAGAGGTACATAATGATCACCAACATTGTCAAGCTCCCTCCACTGTGATCTTTTAAATAAGCATTATTATTATGATCAGAAGTAGAAAGTAAGACACAATGATAAGAGATGTGAAAAGACAAACAACACACCTGAGACTCCATGGCCACTTGATGGGCCAACTCCTGTTTCTCCTTCCGCAGCTCCTCCATCTCCCGCTCGAGTTCCCGGCGCTCTTCCTCCCATTCCACGGGTGACTCAGACTTTTCATGTCCAATAGGTAAACTCACAACACTGGAGCCAGAGAGCTTCCGGTGTCGCCGCCTATGGGGTCTCGGCTGAGGTATGATAGGCTTTACGGCTCCACGATATGGCTCATATGGCACAAACTTGGGCTCTTTGCGTGAGAGGAGGTTCTCTCGGTTGCGTTCTGCTGTCTTGGCCGGTGGGAGCAGAATGGCAGAGTCGGGTAATTTTTCAGGGCTCTTCATGAGAGGTAAAGGGAAATTCTCTGCTTGGTACCCATATTCCTCCAGGCTGGCCTCAATGCGTTCCATGCCATCCCCTTGGGAACGTTCCGTCAGCAATCCTGGGCTGTCCCCTGCAATACATGGGAATGAAGCATGAGTCCTCATCACAGCACAATACATTCATCATTGCCATACATCCCCCAAGCTTCACAAAACAATAGAGCAGCACCTGCCATTTCATAGGCTCAGCATAACAGTCCACATGATCAATGATTAGCTCTGATGATTTCCTTTCAGAAGAGAGGGATTTTACAAGCACTTTCTCCTCAATCCGAATTCGATGGTATTTTCTGGATAGTCACATAGCAGATATGCAAATCCTTATTAGGATACCATTTTTTGCAGAGAAATCAGTGCCAAAAAATGCTAAGAAAGAGCTCAACATGCAGTAAGTTGAATACAATTAATGCCAGAGTTTTACCCCTAGTATTAATTGCAGCTGGCTAATGAGCTAGAAATACATGGACACAAGTGTGTCCTTCGTGTACTTCCTCTATGAGTCGTACCTTAGTGAATTGTAACCATTACTTGACAAGTGAGCATCAGGCTACATACGAGGGTCACTCGGAAAGTAATGCACAGTAATTTCTTAAACAAAATGTATGTATGCCAGGTCAGACAAGATTTTCTGCATAAATTATTAACTTTCCCATTTAAAAAGTAGCAAGTTTGCTAATTTTGCTAATTAACTTGCTAATTTTTTATGGGAAAGTATTTTATAGGAAAGTATATTTGCTGGGAAACAGAGGCAGGGGACACGTTCAAAATGGCTCCCATGCATCAGGTATGTGAGAAGCAGAGGGCAGAAATTGAATTCCTTTGTTGGGAGGATGTAAAGCCTGCAGATATCCACTGCTGTCTAAAAGTTTTTTATGGGGACGCCTACATTGATGACAAAACTGTCAGACGATGGATGAGTCGCTTCACATCTGGAGAAACACGTGTTAAAGACAAGGCACGATCAGGATGACCCATCGGTGCCATCTTTGACAAGAGCATCAAGAAAGTGGTTGAACGATAGGCGTATCACCTCTTGAGTGCCGGGCCAATTAATGTTTCAGACCTTGCATCATCTCACTACCACCTCTTAGGACCCAGGAATGACAACCACGGAGGACATCACTTTGAGAACAATGAGGATGCGAAGAATGCATTTGAAGGTGGCTTCATCACCAGGGTGGGAGCTTATATCGGGATGGAATTCATGACCTTGTAAAATGGTGGGTAAAGTACATTGTCCATAATGGTGACTATGTAAAAAAAAATTGGTGGTTCACTGCAAAGTCCTGATGAACATTGTTAATTTCATGTAATTATCTTTGATACAGAGTGAGAAAAAAATATTTGTGCATTACTTTCTGAGTGACCTTCGTAAAATCTGCATTACTAGTATTTAGAAGAGTTACTTGGGATGTAAGCATTCTCATTTAGCTGTTCCTATCCTTCAGCCATACACATTTCTGTCCAAGCTATGGATACAGCATCATAATTTCCAAAGTATGCACAAGAAGAAGTCTCATATGTAGATGTATGGCCAATATCAACATTCAATCAAAACTCATTATAACCAAGACAAAAGGCCCCCAAGAATCATTCCATCATGTTGGGTTTAGGGTACAACTGGAAGGGTCACATAGCTGCATTTCAAGGCATTCAACACATTTCATGATATTGTTTACATAGCTTAATCATCCTTAAAAGTGTATGAGGGGTTTCAAATGCATTTCAGGATTTTGAAAATCAGATACCATGGAATAAAGTATTTATATGTTTAATACCCCTCATATATCAACTGAATAACAATAATACATTTGGGTCAGAAGAATGAAGAGAGAAAAGCTGGATATCCATCTCTAGCAGCAAAAGCAGATAAGCAAGACAACTCCAGCACTCGCCTCTAGTGCCAATAACTGGATTCACATCCATCCATCACACATATTCGCATAGTTCACAAGCTGCTGATACACATTCACCTGCATTATATTCCTGCAGACTCTATATTCCCCTGCATTGACATCCACCCTATCAAGCAAATTCTACTAGCTCCATATCTCCCTGAATTTTCACTAGCTCACAGGCCATGCAGTTGATGTCAACAGGTGGCACGAGGATGGGCATAGAACTTCCTCTCCAAGTTTCCCTCATGACAAGGGGAATGTCCTTCAAATCCAGCATACCTTCTGTATTGAGAAATCAGAATGATTTGATTCCAGCTGAAAATTTTGTTTTATCTGTCTTCATCATGTCCAGAGGTGTAACAATACTATTGGTAATATCTGAAAGGCAAAGTTCTTCATGATGGTGAATATCAGCAGCAATATTTGGTTTGCCTAAACACAGGCAGTAATATTGTAACTCTGACTCATAAAAGGCTACAAATCTTTGCAAAATACATTTATGCAGATATTTCAGAAGAAACAAGAACTTGAGTTAACTCTAAGGTCCACAGCTATGCAATTTTTTTCGTGTATTTGCGATTTTTGGATAATCAGCACAGCTGTAAACAAAACCTGGTCAGGAAAACCTACCCAACATGACCAGAGAAATATGAAGCTATTTCCATTGATGCTTTGAACTACTAAGGTAATTCAAGCACACTTGAAGCAGCACTCTCAGAAAAAAGGAATGAACACGTCCCTGAGTCCGAAAATACTCATAGAAAGACCTCTAATAAATTTGGCTGCTTCTCTCATTTCCATGACAGTTGGGCCAATACTGGAAAGATTTAAGAGTGACATTTCTACCTGGTTTTCTAGAATGAGGAAGATCATGATTCTGCTGGACAAGCGTCAGCCGCTTCCGCACGTCTTCGGCAAGGACGTTCTCGGGAGACAAGTGCACCAGTGCTCCCTCCTTCTGCTCCATCTCCTTCTCATCTTCGGATGCTGCATTCCCCATTCTAACACGAATCTAGGCTTGCAACGCACCCTCAACCCGAGATCATCTTGCCCAGGACACCAGGTCCCTCCATTGGAACAGAAATGTCACTGGTCAAATCCACAGAACTACCAATGCAAGAAAAAAATTGATAAGGAATGAAGCAATTCTCCACAGGATTGTATTGCTAGTCAAGAGGATCTGTGGTCCTCAAGCTGCATGTGAGGCATGCAACTTCTAGAAGATGGACAATCCTCAGCTTCTTTTATAGCCATCATCTGATGATACCCACCCCAGAATGGGTCAAGGTGAAATCCTAATCTGTGAAGCTCAAGTGCAACACTTCAGGCTCTATGATGAACAACAAAAAAAAAGCTAAAATATTTACAGTATGTCAAGCAATGAATGCAAGCAGAGGATACAAACTGATTGCAATATATTCATCAGATGCACGAGTACAGAATCCAGATTCTGACAAGTATGTTGAGTATAAAGAGGGGGGGGGGAAGTCCCCCAGAACAAGCATGGAAGGATGTTGAAAACAAACTTGCTTTTATGCTTCAGAGGTGAGCCTTTTTCTTTTTTTTTTTTTTTTTTTTTTTTTTTTTTTTTNNNATGCTTAAGAGGTGGGCCTTTTTTTTTTTTTTTTTTTTTTTTTTTTTTGCAAGGCAAGGGGGAAAACATTTTCAACATGACTGAATCACAGACCAATTAAAAAGAAAAAGCTCAGAAGAGAAAAAATATTTCCCTCACAATGTTTGTTCCTTATTATTGAGAGAAACTCCCATAACTGATTGTTCTAATGCCAAAAAAATATGAATGACAGTTCATGGAAAGCCTTAAAGTTTTAGCAGAGGACAATATTCATCCAGAAGCAGAAATATTTACAGAAAGGCCTTCACAGCCACTGCTGATGAAAAAAAAAACCAAATAAGTAAGATATTTCCTTACAGGAGGTTCCCATCACCCCAAACAATGAACTAATGACTAGTTATGAAGCAAGAACACTCGATTAAGAAGTGACACACTGGAAATATCCTCGAAGGCGAGAAGAGGCAGAGCGTTTCACCTTTTTCAATGAAACAAAAACAGTCATATGACTAGAGAGGATGAAGCAGTTAACAACTTGTGCAAACTCATGGTCAGAGAAAAAAAAAAAAAAGGCAAATCAAGGACTGAGACCTCCATCCAGTAAAGCTTCTGTAGTGTTTCGTGCACTTTTCCTGGGAAAACACGACCTCGTTAACTATGCGGAATGCTAATTCAGGCACCTTCCCGCTTGAAGCACTGAACTAACCCCACTTCAGGTGGTGTTGAAAGTTAATCAGACAGCTGAAGCTAAGAGGATACCCAATTTCAAGTCTCATAGCAAAAGTAACTAATAAAAGACCACCCCCACAGATGCTCAATAGAAAAAAAAAACAGGAAAAAAAATGGGAGGCCAAGAATGGGTCATGGAAGTTGTAGAGAACAGCTTGGAAGATGACTACAGCAACACCACACGAAGGTATTATAAAATTCCGAAGGTGATGCACCTCAAGCAGTCAGATGGGCACATCTGAAATCACTTGGAATCTGGGACTCCAGCAAAAAGACAAATAGGAAATCTTTGAGATAGGTTCCTGATTCAGGACTCCTACTCATTGCTAGCCCATGTTCAAATCCCAAGTAGTTCTGTAAATTTTAAATAGCAGCTAGTGATGTATTCTGCAAAAATGACAGGAGGGTAGGAGTCTTACACACAGAGGGAATCTTTCTAGGGATGCACAAGACCTAATTTTTTACCAGAAACAGGTGCAAATCCAGCACCCATTATCTGGTTAGATACTAGATATCCAGCATCAATTATCCACTTGGATAATTGGTATCCAGCATTCCTAATCTGATTAAATGCCAATTACCTGACCTCAACAGTCACTCAAGCAAATGGGCACATGCAATTTGTCCTGTCCCGAGGTGACCATGACAGTGAAATGTTACCACTGGTTAGGACATCTTTCACAAAAATGTATCAACATGCCATAAATAAAATGACTTTAAACTGAAGAATATTTAATGGCACAAATATGTTTCATTTACGTTCAGTGGTTGTGCACAATGCCCAAATAAGGAAGCCGATATCCAGCAGAGCCAGGCAACAGGCAAGAACAGCCGAATGAACATCTGGTGCATGCATGCATCTTGTAGAACAAAAACTACCGTTTCAATTTTACAAGAGCAAATGAAAATGAACAACCGAGAGAACAGCCCAAGAGAGAACACATCAGAGGCATCGGCCGCTTTCCGTGAGCAGAAGGCAGACCTCAACCAATCAAGAACATTGCATTAACCCCTTCAGCCCCAGAACCCAAGGGTTGGCACAGTCCATTTCTGGGCTCTCAATGGCAAACATAGTTATCTGGAGAGGAGGAATAATATTTCCCATTGATACTCAAGAATGTGTAATATTTCTGAAATGATTTCCTGAACAAGCAGCCTTACATCAGTCAGACAAATTACCATTGTGTACATGAAGATCTGCTCCCATGCAGATCTCATGTGGCAATTTTACCACTTCAGGCATACAATTGTGATTTGACAGATTCAATGAAATCACATATGAATAATTAGCTGAAGAAGTAAATATTTTTGACTTGAACATTTTATGCAATATAACTTTTCTGAAAAATGAAAAAACTCAATATCACAGTCTTCCCCTCTAGTTTTTGGGGCTTGAGGGGTTAAAAAAATATTATTGTAATTCTCTAGAAAGAAGACAAAGAAACCAGAGTTTTCAAAAAATCCTCTGACTGAAAACTCTTGAGTTTCAGAATAACAGCATTCAGGGAAGATGAAAGGAAGGAAATGCCAAAAGACTAAACAGTGTTGATCAGGATGCAATGTCGCGACAGACACTGCAAAATATCCCAAAAGAGAAAAAATCACAGACTTGAAAGAGGATAATAAACTGGATTTCTTTCAAAGGCCTATACATATGAAAAAAGCACCAATAAGCAACAGATTTCCCATGATAAACACCTACAAGCTTTAAAAAACAACAAAAACGGAACAGGAAAATTATTGTGACTGCGATAACAGGATTATCACAAAAAACCACAAGAATAGTAGAATTGAGGAAATGCTACAGAACATTCATACACGCGACTGACCAAATTTTTGGGGAAGGATGGGAAGCTTTCCACACAAACACACATGTCTGAAAAAAAAAAATTTTCATTTCCCATCCTGCTTAGGCAAAGCTGGGAGTTTATCCTATCCATCTCTACCTGAATTTCTCTACCAGGTATGACGTCACCTTATATTAAGGAAAAAGCAAATAAACCCTTTTAAATTTGGGCCTTTCACTTCACCAGTGACACAAAAGTACAAGATAGTACTAAATTTCCCTTGCTCATTGAAAAAAATACAGCACCATACTTGAGAGGGTCTGATGCCTTGATGAGAAGAGACAATGATTTGATGCTTATCACGACACTCCTATCATGATAAGAACGGGTTCCCCGGGTTCACTCGGCCAGCTGCACCGGACATCGCCGACGGACCCTGTTGACACCATACCAGCCACACGTTTTCCTGATTGAAATTTTCCTGCCAATACAGATACTTTGCAGGGCTTTCGCACAATATTGGAATCGATCTTCCCGTCTTTTTTTTTCAGTTTTGCAGATGCTCACTGCAATTATTTCATTTGACCAAAACAAGGGTTGTGCAGCACAGCTCTCAAATTCCCATGCAACATTATCCTCTATTGGAATTCAGCTATTTACCTCACTTCCAGTGAATTGGGAAATTCTTGCCAAGTTTTCCCAAGCTTTCAGCCCTCAATTCTATTTCAATTGATTTCTAGCTGTCAAGGAGTTTCTCCAGACCTATTGGAGCTCTATGCCAATAAAAGGCAGTGTCCTGCCAAAACACTTGTAGTGGATATAAGACCACAATGCCTAAGGATACATAGATGAAGAAGATATAAATGCATTCCACAAAAAATATTGATTAACTCTTCAAGACTTTCCAAAGTCTCTGGCAAATGATCATTGGTCACTTAACCATAACATGAGAGCTCATTTGCTGTGTTGGTCAAACTACAAATTAAGAATACCTCCCACATCCATGACCTAATCCATTTGTGGAATATGTTGGTGGCAATTGGATGGTTGCATGCTGACGTATGGGACACATCAACAGCACTTAAAGGGTTAATGTTTTGTGTGAACATCAGATGAAAATGGAGAGAAATTTATGCAGAACCTTCTGGCTGACTCAAAATCGATTCCAGATATTTGGGAAAAGCTCATCACAACTTAGATCATATATCCTCATCACTTAAGGATTACAATCTGAATATGCTTGCAATTCAAGTTCTTACATTGCAGGTGAGGAAGCTGAGAATCAGCGAATTCAATCAACTCTAATAAAATGACATGGGCCAGCTTGTGTCGCATATACTTACATCTTGTGCTGGAAATTTTCTCAAGGGCAAACTGAATTGAAACTTTGAATTCTTCAAGCCCAATACCAGTCATAACTGCACATATGTTACATAACTTCACTTCTGAGAACTACAAAAATGTACATATTTTTTTGCAAAAATGTTTACATTTTTCAGAAAATTTTTTCAAGGTGACCCTAATGGATCCAGTAAACCACCCAGCAAAGATGCAGAACTCACAGGGGCAGCTGAGAATGGGTTCGGGTTGGAGGGGACCCAGGGAGATGAGGCCTGGAACATCATGCCCTTCTGGGCAGGCATCACAGGCTGGGGTTGCTGGCCAGGGACCATCGTCGGCCAGGTGCCTCCCCACCCACCCCACACCCCATTCATCACCCCACCCCCAGTCATGTATGCCGGAGATACAACTCCTCCTAGAGTGGAACAACCATATCCAAGATTAAATCTAACGTGCTTCCCTTTGAAGAGTCATTAAAAAAATGGTCTTCAATCATTCACTTCAAGTTCTGACTGGTCAATTCCAATTTACTTGGGCAAGAGCTAAATGAAACCAAATCGAAAGCAGACAATGACTGATTCACTTCTAATAAGGCCTACTTGTATGCAACAAAAAATGTTGAAATGAATCTGTAACTCCTTCAAAAACCGTGTGAAGAACCGATTTTCAGACTGATGGGGGTCACAATCAGTTCAGAACATTGTCATAATTCTAGCAGCTAGTGAATAGATTGCCAGTGCAAAATCAGCAGAGTCTCATCTAGTACGCTACATCTTACAGGAAAATAAACATGCGGACACAAATTTTAAGTCAGCTAAACCACAACTTACATTTTTCTCATATACAACACATGCCAATGTGACCATTATTAATGCTGAAAATCAGGTCTTCGTACACCAACCGATGGTGGAAGAAGTTCAGCTTCCAAGTAACCATAAGTTTACATATGCATGAGGGAAAACTCAATACCAGACCCTTAGTTCATCCAGTTGAAGCTATAAATGTCTCCCATGTCCCTATCACCTAACACCCCATGGTACTTCTTCCCATTCAAATTTCTCTCATCTCATGCTCTAGCCCCTTGAGCCATTTCCCATTGATTTTCCCTCTCCTAAACTTCCTCTCATTTGCAATATCTTCTCCCTTTCAGACCTTTTTTCATTGGTATTTGTGGCTTCTAGTCCTGCTTTCCTGATTCAGCATCATGCTTCACATAACCTAGTTACCAGGCAGCATAACTTTCTCCACCCTTATTGACTATAAAAGAGGTCCTGCTGAGGAGGAATGCTAAAAAAAAAAAACAACAGTGTGTTTACAAGCAAAAATGCAATTGCAATGAAATATTTTCAGTTACACAAGCTTAGGATTGGTTCTAATGGCACTCTCACAAGGATATCCCAAAAGCCATCCCAAAGCATATCACGTTTTGATACTTCATCAAGAAATATACATAGGCCAAGCTCAATGCCGTGAAGCCTGAAACTATCCAAAAACTGCACACAAAAAAATTCATAGGCAATTTTTCTGCATACAGTGTCGTAAAACATTTGGCAGTAGCTTTCTGCTATCAAACACATCTCTACTGGATAACTAATTCATCTAAAAAGATAACTTATTTTCTAACACTTCCAATTTAATAAAGTAGCAATGAAGCTCCCATGATGCAAACATTCAACAAATTAAAGCATTCATTTCACTTTTGCAAGACAGCAATCAGGGATTCCTGGCACAAAGGCCATCAAAAGGCCAATGTGGCAGGAACGGCTCCACAGGCAAGGCAGACAGGGAACATGCAATGTGAACTCATATTGGAATCAAACAAGAAAAGACTTACCAGTGCTTCCACTGGGTTCTGGTTCAGATCTGGCACTATTTATAAAGGGATTTGTGCTGGAAACAGGTGGAGAGGAGGAGGAAGGCGGAACTGAAAGGAATACGGAGGGGAAAACTAAATCGAAAAGCAGCCAACAAAGCATAATATTGATTCAACACAAGGAAGCAAGGCTCCACTAGACCTAAAACAAAATTATAACGAGATTTACAAAACCAAACAAAAATGAATTGGATTGCGAAAAAAAAAAGTGAGTAATTTGAATCATGCAGTGTGTGATGCAATAGTAAGGTTCAGTTAAATATGCACATACAAAAAACGTTCAGTGAAATATACACGTACTAAGAGCCATTCGTCAAGAGTTGTACAATTCCTCTCACCAGGGAAGCCATGAATGGGCATGATGGAAGGAACTGAGTAGGCAGGAACACCATTGGCCATGGGGAATGCAGGGAAGCTTTGACTGGTCAGCATGGGATTCGGCATGAAGGCCGCGGCGGTGGTGGTCTGGGGTGGGAACCCACCAAAGGCCCCACCGGTCATTCCGATGCTGGTGGCCACCAAGGGGGGGTTCCCAAACGCAGCTGCAGGCTGAGTGCCTGGGAACACTGATGATGTTTGAGGGCTGCTCGACAGTTTTGCAGCACCTGGATCGGGTTTTAGAGTGTGGCACTATTTTACTATTGATGAAAGTAAATATTCTTTGAAGCTTAACTGATAGTCTCCTGATCACTGATATAACTCCATCCAAAGCATGGGAAGTCATAAGCAGGTCAAATAAAGGGCTTATACTTTGGCAAAGAAAAAAAACGCTTATAATTTTGAAACCAATACCCTGGGTTTTAACATTTATCCCAATCTGTGCCCCCCATCCCCCCCCCAAGAAGAATCAAAGAAGATAGCAAAGAACACAATACTTTGCAATTCTTGTGAATTGCAAATGCACAACCAACATGAATTTTTGTCTTCCTTAAATATCACTTAGAGGAAACATCAAGAGTAATATTTCCAGTTCTGTTGCTGGCTCTCATGAGTGACTATTACGGCAATACCAATATAGGATTTTTAACTAACATACTTTATGCAGTTCCTTAAGCTAATTTATCCAGCAAGTTTCTGGACATCAGAGGTTACATTGAAAAAAAAAATTCCTTGTAGTACCAAAACATACATTGTAATCCCACAAATATGCTAAAATTTTAGATTTTCTTCATGAGCCAAATTTGAAACACCTCATAGAACAAGAAAAAATTGTGGACTGACCAGAAGACGGTGTAGGAGATGAAGAGTTCCAATTGATGTTCTGCTCATGCTGGCTCTTCTGTGATTTGAAAATTTCATCCAAGTCTGCAAGGGCAGCATACTTGTCCATGGACGGGGCACTCCCCTTGGCCGGGCGTGGGTCAGAGGACACACTTTTTGCACCTGAGATGAAACAGAAGAACAGATATAGAGGATCTAAACATGCCCAAAGATCTCTGAAAACACAGATGGTTTCAAATGAAGCAACCCTCATCACTACAGATATCTGTTAAGAGGATTTTAGGCATAGGCAGAGGACGTATGGCACGTAAAATAAATCATAATTAATATTAAGTCTGGATTATTTTTGGTCAGAAACAAAACCAGGCTTCATTTTCACAAGGTATTGCTTATTACAATTGTACCAAACTCCACACGCTAAGAAATCAAAGAAACAAGGAAATTGATGCTATCAAATCCAAAGTGAAACTACAGAGAGTATTTTAAAAGTGTGAGACAGCACCTCCTCCATGGGAAAGTTCCACCAGTTCCAGGAAAGGGTTGGTATTTGAACCGACTGGATTCAATGAGTCCTTCAAGTGGCCGATCTTGGCCAGTGGTGTGATAACGTACACATCTGAAAACTTTCCTTTCGGCTCGTTTTGGAGAGCGGGACGAGAGCGCCGCCTGATAAAAGTCGGAGGAGAAGGGAGATGGATGTCCATCTGGAATGAAGGGAAGCCAGGGCTCCGCTCAAGGATAAAGGATGGGTTCAAGGATGGTAAGGAAGGATTGTCAGGAGAAAGAGTGAACAATGGGGTATGTCGTTGGAAAGGATGAAAAGTTGCATGAAGATCATGGATGACTCTCCACTTTACTTACAGCCTGTCTCCTTTTTTGCCTCTGCTCTTTGCTGTTACAAGACTCATGCTTCAACCTGGTATAATTGTTTTTCTCATATAACAGCAAAGTGCATTGGGCAAGAAAGACCAGTCATGCCACCTTAGGCAACTCCCTCACAATGACTCTGTGCCAGGACCAGTCAAGATGAGTATTGGCTGAATCAGCACTAACTGAATCAGTTAGGTTGATCTTAAGCTGAGCAACAATCAGAAGGGAAAGTCAGTGAGTGAATTGGCCATTCCCGTGATTCCAGACACAATGACACCCAGGAGGCAATGCAGGCAGTGATTAGGGCACTCTCACAAGTTCTATCATTGGTACTTGTTCAGTTGATAAGAAGCTGAAGGACAAAGAGCGATTCCGGGTTTGAGGATGGCCAAGCTATCTTATCTTTCCCCAAAAACCTAATCTCCCCTTATATTTCAATGATTACACTCCTTGACATATTCATTGTCACACCTGACATGATGAATCACCTGATAATACATCCTAAATTAAAAATCATGAAAATGTTTCTTTAAAAAATGCTATAAATACAAGGAAACTTCATGGCTCACTGAAAACACTTCTGGCTTCTATTTTTCCATACTTCTTCTAACTGTGGTGTCACTTTCTGTACATTTTTTCACATATAGATTGGTTGGTGAATATGTCCAAGCATCCCTCACACACTTTGAACTCTCTCAACCATGATGACCACCATTTCCAATTTTCAGGATGATGTCACTATCATCTTATCCTGAGGCCATGGCTCTTAGTGAGTGAAATCACAAATACCTGCTATATTTTCTAATGGAAATCACATACTCAATGCTGCATCCTCCATAGCCTAGATTCCAAGACTGAATAAAGCAAGACCTGAAGACCCGAGACTGAAGTCACATCTTCGTTGTTCAAGGTCGCAACTTCTGGACCTGCCAAGTCATAATGACCTGCAGGCAAGAAGAGCAAATGGCTGGGTGGGGCTCAAGCTTTGAGAATTAATTTCTTTGACTTTCAAGAAAGAGATGAATTTGCCCTGAGATAGAGAAAAAGAAAGTATAAACCAATTGGCATGACAACCATGCCCTTGTCAACAATCAAGTTCAACAAAGGAATGAGATAAGCTTTAATCTGACCCTCTCCCCTCTATCCATACCCGATTAATATATACTCTGTCCCAAAAAAAACTTTGGAAAAATTTTCAATTTTTAACTATTCATAATTAGTTCAGACTAAGGCTGTATGCTTTTGAGAGCCAACTAATCCATCAAAAATTAGCACCTTCATATAAAGTTACAACAAAATCCATTGACTCATTCAATAAGTGGGGCAGCATACTCTAAGCGAGGTTGCAGCAGACCAGTGCAGCCAGCCACAACTGGCATGAGCAAGAGGAAACCCACTGTTCCCATCATAGGAGCAGAGACAGAGGAATGTCAGGGTTTTGACTGATTTCACATGCCTGTGTACAGACGGACGGCTGGTGCTTGAACACCTGTTTCAAGTGTGAAACAGGTAAGAATAATGCACTTAGGGTCATACACGTCATGTCAGCTACCATGCATGAGGCACACAACTGAATTTTGAAGGGAGCACCTAATATTTCTGTCCACGCTGCCTCAAGGCTGTCACGCTCTGAAATACCTCTTGTTTTTCTAGAACCAGTGAATGGATATTATCATAACTTAGTATGCATATACTCCTTTGATGGATTAGTATTTGATTAGTAAGCCCTCAAAAGTGCACAATATTCAGAACCATTTATAAGTAGCTGCAAATAAAAAACTTTCCAATATTTTTTTGGGATGGAGAGTACATCAGCTATCATGAAGACCTTCACAAGCTCAACTAACCAAAACCTATTGTCCTGAACGAAGTAGGATCTCAATAGGTGTGAACTCATTAGTCACAGATGCTATCAAACAACTAACTGCACCTAGCAGAGTATACCTGAGTTAATTAATATTCAGCAACTTTAAAGGGTAAAGTAGGCAAGCTTGTTTAGGGATGAAAGGATGCACAGTTAAATTTTTCAAAAGCACAAAAAAATGTGCCTCGTGGCCTGCATGAAGTAATCATAATTAAACCATCTCTAAAACAAAAAGATGAACACTGGAACAAGAGAAAGATTCAGGGCAACAATTATTTCCTTCAATGATTACATCCTCCATTCAATTCTAATCAACATTAGCCTGGCAAACCAATAACCCTACAAGAACAACAATCTTTGGCAGTGGTGGCTCATAACATGCAGCAGTAGCGGTTTGTTTATGGCGACCGAGGAGGCCGGCCTCCCCCGACTCCATTCGAGAACTACTGCTGCTGCATATCATGAGCCACAGCTGATCCTATGATATCTAAAATCCTCACCACACATTGACATACCTCACAAAGCAAAAAGAAACATTTTGAAATTGCATAAGATAACACAAAAGAAAAACATGATTTATGGCAATGGGAGAAAAAAGTAGAACATACAGGAATGACACGATTTATGAACAAATGCCTTATGCATCACAAGGAAATTAGCATGACTCACTTGCTGCAAGGAAGGCATCGTTGTCAAAGTTGGCGAAATTGGGGATGTCTTGTGTGGGGAGGGAGCCAAAAGGGTCAAAGGAATCCACTGGCTTGGATGGAACAAACTCCAGGGGCTTCTTGCTGATCTCAGGCAACGAATGGACCCTCGCAGCCTGTTCCCGCAAATAACAGGGCATAAAAACACAGTCAAACTTCTTCAACTTACACCTTGCTCAATTCATCTATTGAAATTTTTTCACAGCATCCTGGGTTTCTTCCAGTGTGAATCAGAGGAATTCAGTCTGTGGGCAAATTATGGCCATATTGCAATACTGCAGCATTCAAGAGTAACTTCTAAACCTATATTTCCCATTAACATCAAGCACCAGGAACATAGTTAAAATTCCATGGTGTAACCTATAATTTCTTTGTTACAGGAAACAAACAAATTTATTACCTTTCTCATGACTCTTCCAGATAAACCATTTGCCTTTTTCTGCAATTTCTTCCCAATTTTAAACATAAGAAATAGGTCTCTCAGAACTTAGAAATATATCATAGCACTTAATAGAAATATTGGAATCTAGTAATGAATCTTGTCAAACACATCAAAAGAAAAATTCTTGAATTCCTGCTAATGAATCTGACATTCCACCATTCCCACACTCTGAAAAGGGGCAAAGAATCCGTTTCTGACCTGAGAGGTACTTAACACTGCCAGGGGCTTCACCTGGCTCCCAACCAGCGAGGACAGGGGTTTGACCTCGGATGTCGGGGTGGTGGCCTTTGGCGGGGGGTCGGTCGACGGGGGCTTGAAGCTCTGGATGCTCCCTGGGTCCATGTAGTACCGCTTCTTCTCGTACTTTGCCACCATAAAATCCTTTAACTTATCCTGATCCCGAAAATCCACTGCATTCTTGCTGCTATTGTATGCTCCCAGCCACACTCTCGTGCAATACTGGGAAAGGAAAATCCATCATAAGAGAAAACTGAAGAAAAAAAATATAATCTGAAAAATGGTGAAAATTTATCCCATAAATATACTCAGCCAATAATAAAGATTTCCAAATTGAAGCTTACAAGAAAACAAAACTAAGTCCACGCCACCATATTTTAAGCTGCCAGTGGAATTGAGTATTTCCATTTGGTTTCAAGAATGTAATAATCAGATCCCTTGTTGAGTTTCATATTAAAAGCATCATTCCAGAAGCTTCATCAGGTCCAGCACTGCTTGGACCTGCTTGGCTTCCCTTAGCTATGCAAATCCTGACATGGATCTCAATGACACCACTTAAGCTGACAAGATTACAGCCCACCTTTAGCCCTCTTAATAAAGAGTTCTTCAATTATTCAAGAATGCTCGCCATGTGCCAAGACGTCAACATACCTCATTTCCCCTAGCTTTGACAAATTCTATTTCCTCTGGGGTGAATGTGGCCATGGATATAGACTTCACTCGGTGAGGGGGCGTCAGGCCTCTCCTGTAATGGGAAGAATACAATGTATAGGGCTCTCTGAAGTCCAAAATTAAAATTAAAATACTCCTACTACATTGCCCTGCAAAAAAAAAAGCACAACAGAGACTCAAGATACATGACAAAGACCCTCATGCCTTCCCCTGGGGATAAAAGATCATAATCCAACACAAGCTGCCAAAGTATTACACACAGAAGACATTTTCTGGCAGGATGACAGGTTCCAGACACATAACAGCTGAGGCCAGGTAGAATTCAAAGTCTTACTACCCTTTGCACAAAGGTTAGGCATATCCTGTATCATACCAAAATATATAAAAATTGGAGGACAGGTCTCAATATGCAGTGCACTACCAGAAGGCACTGTGGGCCTTCTGGAACACAGGATAAAATCCAGAAAGGGACTTCCTAGAGGATTCTAATATGGGTGGGAATATTACTATAGGGGGAAGCACAGTCCAATCCACAATTGAGAAAAAAGAGAAAAAACCTGCTTGACATGTTAACCGTCAAAACCTCAGCATGACCCAGCAAACACAGAAGCATGCAAACTGCCAAAATCCCATGTGGCAGTTAATGAGCTAAAAAAGTAGGTCCTTGCATAAATGTGGAGACAAACTCTACATGCCTGTTGCCTGCCAGTCAAGTTTATTAAAAGTTATTGAGCATGAATCGTCATGTTCGCTTTGAACTTTTCCCAGCCGATCTCTTCCAAAAATCCCGCACCTCAACTGCAAGCTCTGGGGTGGAATTGCAAGGGAGATGGATGAAGCTGTTCTGCTTTCCTTGGGCATGATACTCAGATTTCATTTCAGCAAACCAAGAACTCCATTGGCTCTGGCCAGGGTGGCACTGAGTTCTTCCCATTCTGGGTTTTTCTTGAAGGCAATGCCCAATCACTTCATGGCATCCACCGTTTTCAGCGGAGCGATGCCGAGATGGCACAGTTTGCTCAAGAGATTCTATCAAATCCTGTGTACCTTTTACTTTTACTTGATTTGAACTTCAGGGAACACTCGTCTGACTGTTGTATTGTTCAAGAGTTTCGAGGCCATCCTTGGCAACGATTTGACAATATCTGATAAAAAATCAGAAAATCTACAGACTTCAGAATCTATACTCTTGTCACTCATGAGCAACAGAAATACATTGGCCTGACTTTCCTCCCGATTTTTCAAATACTCAATTCAAGACGGTCCCATTTACAACCACTCCTTGCCTGCAGTCTGCAAGGAAATTCCTCGTCCATAAGAGGAGTGATCCACAGGGACTGTAATATGACAATGCAGATAGCAACAATTCATGGAATGTTGCTTTGCAAGGTCAAGGACAATTACATCTACCTGGGATTCCAGGTCTGGACCATTTATATTGATACAGAGCTGGGTTGTGCATGAACATCTGTCATAGAATACAAGGAAAATTCCTATATTCAAAAGCGAAGCGATAAAATCATCCCACACGGCATTCAGAATTTGGTGTCACATGTGAGACTGCAATGGAAAGTCCAACAGAAGCCTTGTGTAAGCCTAGTCTAAATCAAACACCCAGCCTTGGGCATCTCTGGATCCTCAGAGGCCTATTCCAGTTGTAGCCGCCGATCGCAGACGTACAGGTCAGCTGGGCGGGTAAAGCGTAAGCTATGCGCTTGACTCCACGATCTCTACTAACAGGATAACGGCCTGCAGTCCTTTGCATGTATATCTGCACCATTCTCCACGACCCGAAAATTACTTATATCTAATGGCGAATCCATGGATTCCTTCCCAGGAAGAAAACACGGAACCCATGTTAATAACGGTAAGAATTCACTCGTATAACACCGTCGGCCCGGGGCCACTCGATATTAAACCACAAAAACTCACAAGAGGCCTGAGCAATGCGTGCACACGAAGGACCCGATGGTCATGTTGACGTAGGTAGGTCCTTTCTGCCCACAGTCGAAACATTCTTTGTTCTTCGGCAGATGAGCCAATTCTCTGAGAATGAACAGGCTCTTGTCCTCGGCCTTGCTCTTGCTCGACGCCATGTTTGATCTGGCTCCGGGATAGAGGTCTGAGCGGGCCGGCTCGATCCGCACGGCCCCGCGGGCCGCTGGAGGCGACGGCCCGGCGCGTCGGGTCGGGACCGGAAAAGGATGGCGGCGGAGGGCTGTACTCCGTGACACGATCAGTTCGGTTCCGCATTCGTTCGGATGAACCGTTTTGCATAAAAGGTGATCGGAGTTCGCGGTCGGGAATTTCCCGTTCTTCCTCGCGTAGTCCCGGCTCGTTCCTTTCAGCGTGTCGGTTCTTTTCCAGGAGAAATTTTGATAATTATTATATTGCGTCTGTATCCTTTGCCCTTCACCTCCTCCTCCCCCCCCACCCCCCTTCATCCCCCCACAAACCGGCGGAATAATCTCTCCTGAAGAAAAGTTCAACAATGCTCAATAAACTTTCGACTGTCAGTCCCAAGCCCAGCAAAGCCGTCTGCTCCTTCCCTGTTGAGAATAAAGGGGGGCATTCGCATTATTGCGCGCTTGGAAGGCAACCAAACCCCTCGAGAGTAGGGAAGCCATGCAACTGCGTTTTTTTAAATTTAATCTCGTAATCCATTCTTCCTTCCACCACGAATCTATCCCTAGCAATTAACCTCATTAATCGTTCAATCCCCGCATCAGCAAACTCGGCGCGAACAGGATTGAAATAATTATCAGGATTCTACCGATTAATGCTCTACCGGGCAGGACTCTACCTCCCCCCCCCGGGCAGGACTCTACCGCGACGCGGCGCGGGATGACCCAGCGCGCCAGTTGACCCACTCGACCGTGGAGGGCGATGACGCAGCGCCGGGGAGAGGGCGGATTTTTTTCCGTCGAGTGCGGTGAGTCGCGAGTCTTTCGGATTCCCGGGCTCGACCTGAGCGTGTCCTTTCATTAATATTATATAAATGTGGCAAACTTATTATGAATGTGATAAACTTATTATAAATACGCGCCGTGAACGTCTTTGAATTAACTTAAACGCCTCAACGATCCGCCGCTGACGATAAATTCATCTTTTCGTTCGTTCGCTGGCGTTTAGGTTCGTCAACCTTCACGACTTCACGAGAACGCGAAGTGGGCAAGATTTGGCACGAATTTTGGCACCGTTTTGGCGCGGGTCGAATCCTGCAGTTTCTCTTGGGTCGGCTTCGAACCGGTTGAACTCGGTGGGCGCGCGAAATCGCCGCATTGCGGATGGCGATGACGTCATCGGCCGCGGAGAGCGTGGCGGTGACGTCATCAAGCCGCTCTGGAGGGACGCTGAGGTTCTCGCTGCGTTCCCTCCTGCGACTCGGCGCGTGACATGGCACGTGACATGGCGCGTGACATGGCACTTTCGGGGCGTTTTTCTTAGTTCTTTTAAAGTTTCTGTAGATGGCGGTGGTGTCTACGCCGGTTTTTTTTTTTATTTCCTGCTTATGCGCGTCTCTCAATGAAATACTTCAGCTGTGCCTGGCGTGACCATGTCATGGCCATGTCATGGCCGCGCGATGACGAGGAGCATAGAGAAATCGATGCCGGGAATCGCCAGACGGGACGAATAGATTCCTCGCAACAGAAACTGGCACGCGATCTGGCACGCGGCACGAATGAGGGGATCCGTCGACCCGGTCGCCGCGCGGCGACTCGATGCGCGGCGACTCGATGCACGGCGACTCGATGCATCGAAGTTGCCACCATTTTTTTTCCATCCACACGCCGCGGAAATTTGAAGGAAATAAAATGTATTTAAAAAAATTATTAATCTGATTAATTAAATTATCCAAAATCTGAACTGCTTGGTCGGTAATTCGAGTCCCTATCTGTATCGTCTGCCATTTTTATTTG